ATACAATGTATTTTTGGCTATTGCTACAAATATACCCCAGCGACTTAAGACTGCTTTTGTGCTCCAGGGTCACATTTACTCTCCCTCATGTGGTTACAAATGTGTACGACTTTCTTTTTGCCAAACACAAAAGATATTTTGAAGAACGTTGGGGTCCATACATCATTGGACCCCATTGACTTTTACTGTACAGGCAAAATAAATAAAGAAAATTTTTTTTCCTGTTTTGCATACAGGTATGGACTGACATGAGTGCGAGTAAATTACACATCACATTATTATTACACATCGAATTATATTTTATTTATTGAGACCTTCACCCCAACACCAAACAGTGGAATGCCTATAATGCAATATTTCCTTGCAAATTAACAAGGTCAGGCCTCTATACATACCAAACTGATCTATGCTTCTAAGGATCCCAATCAATGTTCTTCCATCGCGAAGCAGAACAAGGTGTTTCTCTAACAAGGGGAAAATCAAAGCATCGTCAGTCACATCAATACTGTTGCACTTGAATATTTCCCCATGATTTAATTATATATGATCATACGAACATCTGAATTGAGGCGATTATTATTCATGCGAACTAGTTCAGCTTGCGGAACAATAGCCAACAGGACAGGATTTCTATTTTTTAGCGTAACATGTACCACCAACGTGACTTTTATAAATGCTCAAAGATGCTAGGCGAACATTACACAACGCTAGCTGTGTCTCAGCGGGTGAATTCACTCAAATACTCTCACTTTCTTTTGCAAGTAACTTACTATCAATGTCCTCGATGAGGCTCGCGGTCCCTGGCATGTAATTCATTTTGCTGACATTTGGGAGATTTATTTTAAACGTAAAGTATCAAGCCATGGACCATTTCAAATGTGTATCCTTATTCCACAGGATGTAACACTGTGAAAGTGCTTCCGGTTCGATTTAACCCTTTAAACTCTCGCTTACTTGTTCCAAATGTCCCAAGCTTAACTTTAAAATATTTTTTTAACTATAATGACGCCTAAATGACGCTATTTCTCTGCGTTTTTAGTTAGATTCACTGATGAGCCGTGATTTATTTACATAATACGAACGCAAACGAATCGTTCATTTGACTCGGATCTTTTCAATGAACCGGTTGAACTGGTTCACAAAGTCGCCCTCTCTCTCTCTCTGATTAGACTCAGAGCCGTTGAGTCTGATTAGACTGAACCGTAAAACTTTTTTCAGGCAAGAGATGTAATGGATTTTACGCTTCAAGAAAAATCCGTAAAAATACGGCATACTGTACTGTGTTGATTTTTCACAGGTGTTTTACCCGTATTTTGAATTACGCATTGCATTGTGTTTTAGGGTTGAAGGAAATGTCCGTAAACTTGTACTGATAATTTTCTACCAGGACATTATCCGTTTTACTACGGATTTTTCTTACAGTGTAATATTATTTAAAGTAACTAAAATTATATTAACGTTATAAAATTTGTTTTTATAAATGCAACCAACTGAACGGTTACACGTGAAATTGCAGTCAAAAATCGTATTAATAACTCAATGATCAATTATTAAATTAATTACGTACATGACCATTACGTTTTAATGTAAAAGAATCACTGAAACGGACGTTTTTATTAAAAGAATCTATCCTCTCATTTGCTGAAATTTTTCATTCATAATTTTTTTTTTCAAAATTCCCCCACACATAAACTTAGTGGTTTTTAAAGAGGAATTTGTAATATATTTAGAGACATTAAAAGGGATGAGCAAGGTATTTGTATATTTTATTAGAGGATTTGTTTTATAATGTAAGCCTCCTACTCCCCTACTTTTTATTTGTATTTTTTTCAGATGTATTTATATATTTATTTATTTATATATCTTACATGTTGTATAGAGTGTTATATGAAAATGTCTTGATATGTAAATCTTTCAGTTATGAATGCCTTTCTTTGGCGTTGTTCAAAGCATTTGAATAAAAAAAAAAACGAATCTCTTGAAAGGAACCGATTCGCAGAACTTCCCCATTACCAGAGCCGTTGGGAAACGTCTGTCCATTTCTCAGCTAGACGTTTGAATGTGGCGTCACCGCAGTACTCATCTCCTATTGGCCAGCTGAACTGTCAGTCAAGTCGCGTCGGCTGGCGAGCTGAGCTGCATGACAGCGCCGTTCTCAGCAGTGTGTGTACCAGACAAAATGGGAAATAATATATCCAGTTGACGCACTATAGCTACAGCATTTAGTGAAACGTGGCGGGAGATCATTAGAGACCGGTTTTGAGAAGATCTCTTCCATTCTAAACCAAGCTGTGGCTGACGGAAGTGAACTTAGGACGGAAAGAGTTAGTGGTTTAGTCACGAATGGCTTTCGACTCCGTTGGCGGCGACCGCGGCGGAGGTGAGGCTGCGTGGATCATGCATCAGCAGATGCAGTCTGACCCCAAGTCTTCCTGGCCTTCCAGCTACAACTCAGACAACAATAACTGGAACAACGGCATGGTGAGTCTTTTGTCATATGATACTGATAGAGGCTGCGAGGACAAATTAGCACGGACGCTGTTGCGGCGTTAATAACGCTTTTTCTCACGGCAAAACAACGAGCTGTACGACACGGACTCCACAGCATGGACCGCGGGGTGTGTAGTAAATCCTCAGGCGAAACCATATGCTTTCTGCCTAGCGTAGCGCGCTCGGGTTTGCCAGGACAGTATTGTTTACTCCTGTAAAATAATCACATTTTGTTGCTTTGCAGCCTGAAATGAAGAGGGACACAGTTTTTGTTTTATCTAGCTGTATTTACTCAATGCAACTTATAACATCCAGGTTACAGATATAACACCAACATGTCAGAAAAAAACAAACAAACCGAATCACTGAGTTGGAAAAAGGCTCACCCCCTTCCTAAAAATGACTTGTAAACTCAATCAGGTGTAGCTAATCACCTTCTCAATGGCACAGAAAGCCATTTGACTCTCACCTGTGATCAGCTGTGCTCATTTTGATTAGCTGAGCACAAAAATAGCTTTTCTGGAGCATTTCAGTCCTTGGTAGTGCAACTGAAGCAAACAATCAACTGTGGGTAAGGCACTGTCAAAAGATGATATCTGGGATAAAGTTGTGGACAGGCACAAGTCAGGAGATGGAGACCAAAAAAATTTCAAAGGCTTTATCAATGCCTATTGCCAAAACGCACCTTGAGGATTCTGAGGCAGATGAGACTAAAATAGAATTATTTGGCCTCAGCACCAAACAATATATCTGGTGGAAATCCAATACAGTTCACCATCCAAATAACAGCATTCTTTACCTACAGTAAAGCATGGAGGTGGTGATATCCTGTTATGGGGTGTTTCTCTGGAGCAGGGACTGGAGCACTCGTCAGGATAGAAGGAAAAATGGATGGGGCAAAATACAATAAAATTCTTGAGGAAAATCTGTTTCCCTCTGCCAGAAAGTTGTCAATGGGAAGAAGGTTTACCTTCCAACATGACCGTGACCCAAAGCACACAGCAAAACTGAGCACACACAGTGTCTGAAGGAGAAAAAGGTGAATGCAGTGTTTCCCACAGACTTACACTCTATGTGGCAGCACTTCTTCTGGGGGAAATGTATATGTATATACTGTAAATATAAAACAGCAGACGGGCTGATTGAAAATGCAAATTTACTCTCTGCCAGCAGGAGGAGCTTTAGGAGCTGCAGAAATAGCGGTTTCCCCGGTAACGGCTGTAATCAAAGCAGCGCTGCACTCATGAACGCTTCATCAGCATTATAGGAAAGATTAAATGAAAATGACATCAAAACCTTTCTGAAGACAATCGGTTCCCTTCAAAAAAAGATACATTTATATAAAAACACCCGTGCCGCGTTTTGATTTTGAAACGTGCAGTGCTCATGTTGAAAAATCTAGTTGCGGAGGTCACTGTTGATATTGTGGCGGGCCGCTACAAATAAATCAATGTATGGGAAACCCTGGTGAATGGCCTTGCACTGCCTAGTCAGAGCCCAGACTTAAACCCCACTGAAAATCTGTGGAATGACTTGAAGACTGCAGTCCACAAACACTCACAATCACATTTAACTGAACTTGAGCAGTTCTGCAAAGAAGAGTGAGCAAATATTGCAAAGTCAGCAGACACATTTCCCAACAGACTAAAGGCTGTAATTAAAGCAAAAGTTGGTTCAACAAAATACTGACGCAGGGGGGTGATCCTTTTTCCAACTCAGTGATTCTGGTTTTTCATCGATGACTCCTTACACATGCATCTTATTTACAGCTTGTGTAGTCCACCTGAAGTAACCTGGGTTTAAATGCCTTAAAAAGGACACAGGGTTGATAATCCTCCTCGACTTGTGTTCTCAGTAAGTCTTTATTCCCTGGATAACTTCTACTTGAGCCTGAGCATGAACAGTTCACTCACTCATTCAGAGTACGGACAAAATGTGTGTTTTTATATCACTCTGTATGGGTCAGCATCATCAGATACCAAAATAAGGTGTCCAATATATTTTGTAAATATTGACCGATCTGGCGATGTCTTTAAATGAATGAATTTACACTACAGCATGGTTTCGAAATGATTAAGATTTCACATCACGTGTTAAAAATATAGTAGCCATTTGTTTTTCTGGTGTTGCTGTAGTTACTAATAGGACCTATACTTATAATGAGGCAAATTATTTACAAAATCCCATTTAATTTCTAAAATTTTATATGACGGTTACTTAACATGGTTGTGACATTGAACATTGAACTCATAGCACAAGAAATATGGAATAATGACATTGGTATTACCTGATATTATTAATATTTTAATAAATATCTGACAAATATTGCAAAAAGATATTAATAAATATCTGAAAATATTTGTATTTTCGCTGTAGTTTGTATTTTTGATTGCACTTACTGGTAATTATAATAATTGCCGTCGGCTAAGAAGGAGCCTGTGTTATTTGCATTGCTTCCTTCCTGCACTTAAGTGCGAACTGTAGTTTCGATTTGAGCAATTGCCCTGCTATAGGCTATTGGCTGTGCTAATTAGAAGGTGGCCGCAGCGACTGTAGACTATTTAAACTGCTTGGTCACTGTCTTAACTTTGGAGAAGCGATTAGTCAACAGAAGAGACGGACGGCAGCGCGTGAGTGTTTTGCTTAATACTTGT